TATTATATATATATATATATATATATATATATATATATATATATATATATAAAATCGTACTTGTACTGAATGAGATTGCTATTCTTTTAATTAGAGAAATTTAGTTTAAATTTTGAATATAAAAAGATTCTTGGTAAGGAATACTTTCTCTCGAATGAAGCTTACGTTGTGTAAATTCGAAATAATTAAGCTTTAATATGAATATATGATATCGGAGGAAAATAAAGAAAAGTACCAAGGTGATATTATCATAGAACATGGTGATTGGCTTTTTATCTTTTTATTTTTCTCCACCACTCATTCATTTTCCATTTATTTATTTATTTATTTGTTTTGAAGACAAAATTAATTTTAGTAAAAGTATTTTGTTAGTTGACAATTGAAGCCTCTTTCTTTTAAATGGTTTTTATTTCAAGATTGAGAAAGTTTGAAGTTTTTTTTTTGTTTCTTTAAGATTCTTTAGTAGCCTTAATTTTATTTTTTTGATGAAGTATTCTTTAGTAGCCTTAATTAATAACAAATTATATATGAAGTGGGAAAAGATACTAGAACGATATATTTAGTGTAATGAAGTCTAAGAAGAATAAAATGTACATCTCTTATCCTTGTCTTTATGGGATCGAGAGGCTATTTTCGAGTGATTCTTGACAATCTTTATAGGACTTAAAATTGATAATTGAGTTCGACGAAGTTAAATTATGAAAAGGAAAGAAAGATTCCTAAACATATTCAATAATCGTATATGTAGTACAAGTTAGAAAAAACAAGTGATGAAGGCGATTTGAAAAGAAAAAACAGAATGACTTCACTTCTAACAAGCTTTTGAAAAAGAGGCGCATAAGACATCTTCACTCATTACATGAAAGAAAAAAATGAAGAACATCACAAGACATATCTCTCTGCATATTCAAAACACGAGTAAGCAAGTCGGAGTGCTATAGGTACCTTCCCAATAAGAAAAACATGTGTTTATCAGTTCCGATAAAAATTGTTACCCTTAACTTCTTATTAGGAAGGTATGTGCACTATTTGAACTCAATTATGGTATAACCTAAAGGATGAATATGTGAGGTTTGATCGATACATGTCATGAGTTTAAATCGTAACAAATATAGTCTAGCAAGTGAAGTTAAAAGGTTAAAAAAAAAAGTAAGCCCAATATGTCCCACAACTTATTTTAAACCCAAAATTATTTGTAAAGTTGATTGTCTAGTTCTACTTTTATGATATATTCATATCTACTATTAAAAATTTGAACTTTGATTGATAAAAAGATACTCACCCACCAACAAAAAAGAGAGGCCTTTGTCATTAAAAGACACAACAAAAATGCAAAAAGATTCAATTTATAAAAGTAAAATAATCATTCTTCAATATATAACTAGGCATGTTTAAACATCATCAATTAACCATTATTAGTTATATTTGTTTAATACCATTCCAAATAATACCTTTTGATATTTAAAATTCTTTACCAATGTATGTGTTCCACAACACATAATACAAAATACATCATCGTTCTCTACTCACTTCATCGTATCTTAAACGATACGTGTTAAATTTTGTGACCAATCAAACACCGTGTGGGGAAGGAGGAAGTACAAAGAGGAAACTTCCACACACTAAATTAATGACAAAAATGAGATTGGACCACATGACAATAAGAACAAATATAATGCATTACAGATGAAGAAAAGAATTGCCACAAATAAAAAAATGTTCCATTTGCTGTCAAGTTCAGCAATGTCATTTCTAGGGGCAAGTTTAATTGCCAGCAAGGTGAAGGGGACAAAAGATAAGAAAGTTCTTGGAGTATAGGGCAATAATGCTTAAAAGAAATAAAGACATTAGACACAAGGACTATACTTACAATCACTGATAATTTCACTAATAATATCTAAGGGGAAAGAAAAGAGGCAAGAGGGTAAAAAGAAGAAAAAAATGGGGAAAGGGGTAAGGAGGAAACATATATATTTTATATATATATAGATAGATATATAGATATAGAGAGAGGGGATATATATATATATAAAGATCAAAGAGCACAAGTTGGAGGATTCACAAAGGATTGTGACGTATAGATAGCTCAGGCGAAGTCGGCTGGGAATCCGCCTAGGGTCCCTATTCCATTGACAAGTTTCGGCCTCCACTCAGTCCGTCCCTTAACAACCTCTCCGCCATTTTCAAGTCGAAGGACGTGTTGACACTCGACATTGCCAAAGTCGGTGAAGTCACCGACTTCCTTGTCGAGTACAGAGGTAAGAGACTGAAGCACACTGTCCTTTCTGCACTCCCTGCGGTACTCCAGAGTCATGGCAGCAAGCTCACAACCCTCTAGTATTTGCATGGGTGCACTCTGCAGCCAAAGACATGTTCCGAAATTACATGATGTTATCAAGATTTTGAAGCACTTCAAGAGAATTGTTTCTTTATTACTACTATTGTGACAAATAATTTATGCTTTATGCAAACGGCAAGGAGAACGAGCACTAAAGGCCAGTAAAGTCGAAGATCAATGACCATCGATTTTTCAGTACAATGCATGTCACAATGCTCACTTGAGTTCTTTAAGCTTTCCTACTTAAGGTTGATATAAAGATTTCATGCTCATACACCACAACAACAATAACTACTACCCCTTTATAGGGACAACAAGATCCCCTGGGGTGAAACTAATTATTGTTAGATAAAAAATAAAAGAAATAGCGAGACATTGTACTTATCAGCCGCTAGAAGACAGGAATAAGTTTATTACTGTGCTCAATTACATGGAACACTTTTCACACTAACTGGTTGCACTATACAACAACATACAGAGAGAGTGAGGTTTGGGGAGGGTAGAGTGTACGCAGACCTTACCCCTACCTCGTGTAGGCAGAGAGGCGGTTTCCGAAAGCTCCTCGGTTCAAGTGAAGCTAATCAAAGTATTAATAAAGAGGGAAAACAGCAGAGAAGAAAACATGGCAACTAATAGAAAAGCAGTACAGAGCATACAAGCAAGGAGCAGTGACATCAACAAATACGAACTTAATGGACTATGCAGATGGCTCCTAACAGATATACACATCACTGGATGTATTTCAGCTCTATCTGAAACCTTAGGATATCCAATACCACTACAAATCCAACAAATACAGAAGTTGGTTGGGTTAGTGTGTGTGCATACACACGACCTTTTAATTTTCCTTTTCTTTCTGCATTGTCCTGTCCGCATAATTTCAGAACACGATGAAACCTTAACTCATCTATTATGCAGCATACACTAATTATAAACCATAATACATTACAAGCAATAACAGTAAAGAAAATTTTATTTTAGAAAGGAGGAGGAAACAGTTGAGGTTTTACCTCAAGAATCCAGCCAATGTACTTGACATTATTAACATGCTGGTTGACATCTAAATCACTCCATCTTGGCTGTAAATTTCAACAAATCAGAATATAATAAAAATGATGTCCTTAGGTGCGACAAAGTCGCCATTGATGAAACTTACAGTTAAACCAGTTCGAGTGTAGTCTGCTGTTGTCTCGTCAAGTTTTGGCAGCTTCCTGCTGTCATCATCAATAACAGGAGGTGAGTCAACAAAATAACCTTCAATTTCAGCCCGAGCCTCATCTGGTATTTTAGATAATCTCCTCGTCTCCTTATTCATCATCACCCATTGGCTGCAAGCAAATGGAAATATAAAGACATCACAGTTATGAACCAATGAATATATCATCAAGCGCTTCATGTTTGGCTACCAAAGATACAACAGAAAAGAACAGGAGCTACGACATAGACCTAAAACAACCAAATCCAACGAGAAGGTTGCAAACTTATAGATACAAAGCCTAAGTAGGAATGATAAGATCATTTTAAATTGAAGATAACTGATCATTGTGCCAAAATTAACCAAACTGAAGTAGATTAAACAATAATGCTCCTACCTGGAAGCTCTCATCAATATATCCCCAGTATTACTATCGCGGAGGAGCCAATCTCTGCGCATACCATTTTTCCCCGATGCAGCTACCCAAGTGTCTACTTGAACAACATCACCCCTGTATTAAAAAAAGAAATCAGTCAAAGGATCTTCATCTCCCACGTCAAAGAAACCGTGCATGTAGCATTACAAAGATTAATAGGGAGATCAGTAGGAAAAATAAAGAATAATCCCCAAAAGATCCGAAATGGCTTCAAATCTTCAACTACAACAAATGTAAGAAAACCTCATATTGCTACTATGGATAGTCCACAACTGTAATTCACAACAGGGAATTTAAATACTTAGCAGCCAGATGGCAAATGAGCAAAAGTGCAAAACAATCAACAACAGAGTGTTACTTGGCACCTAAAGAGCTTGAGAGATTTCTGATTATGTAAAACACACTTTTCCCATTTAAATTGATCATGTTCCTAAACACTTCACAGATATTAACATAAGGGAATCAAATTAAATTCGATTTAACCCAAGTGATTTCCATATCACACAAGAGCAAAATGCTGTGAAAACACTTTAACAGCCTGTTTGCCCAAGTTTTGGAAGGCCAAAAGTGTTACTTCTTTTTTCCAGAAGCACTCTTCAAAATAAGCTGATTTTAGAAGTTTGGTCAAACAGGCTATAGGAGAAAAGAAAACTGACTTGAGGTTAAGCACATTACACTAATGTGTTCTCAAAGAAATTTTTATTAAACATAATTAACAAATTCTGGAGTATTGACACTCAATCTTGAATTGCCGAAAACGTTGATCAACAAAGATTGTTCAAAAAACTGGTGAATTTTATCTGATACAACATATGAGAGACGTAATCTCATCCATGTACATGTAGAAACTTACCAAGTAGGATAACGGTCCACCACAACCTGCATTTTCGTAACAACCCAAATCAAATTTCTCTTGGACATCTCTGGAGTTGATCCAAACCCACCATGCATGAGTCCAGCACTCTTGACATGGTTAAGAGCAGTTTCCTGCAGAACAAACTCAAGAAATTATCAAAACAAGATGCGTCCACAACTTAAAGTCAATAATTCATTACAAATGGAAATGAAAACCTAGAATACCTGTAAATGATTCATCATTGTTTCTATAGACGCAGTCCTATCAGCCCCTATTTCATAGGACCTGATGCTGAAATTTTGACGGAAAACAAAGCCATCCTGCACAATTTTTCCTAAGCCGAATGGATCAGCGAGCATATCAGGACGCTTAGGCTTCCAATCAAGCATCATCCATTGCTTCTCAGCAGCTAAAAAAATTGTCGTGATGGCAGCGAGGAGCATGCTCCAATCAGGTAACTGGTTGATAAAAGTCCTTGGGTGATGTGAAGAAATCACCTCATCATCGTTCTTGAAGCCATCCATAACGCCTACCTTTGTTCCATTCACCTTAGGTGGTGCTTGTGCATTGGCCTTAGCTTGTAGGCTCCCAAAAGAAGGCTTCTTAACATTAAGCCCCCGTGTATCTATACTTCCAGGAAGACTTCCTCCTAAATTTCCAGACGATTTTGCTCCAGACTCAGGAGGTTGATTAGCAGCAGGGAAGAATGCACATGTAGCAGCAGTGGCCATCATGAACAAACTATCTTATATTAGCAAGTTAATCTCCCTTCGTTCAAATTATATTGTAAATGGATTACGAACAAACACCAAACCCGATCAAAGACTGACACCTTTCTTCCTGCAACATCACGCAAGTAAAACATCACTTAACAACAACAACAAGAAGTTAACAACAACATCAAACCCACTGTAATCTCATAAGCAGGGTTTGGGGAGCGTACGGTGTTGTACGCAGACCTCACCCCTACCTCGAGGCTGTTTCCAGATAACATATCACTATTATATAGCTATGAAATTCAAGAACCTAAAAATTTCTTCATGTAACTACTGATAAAAAAAGCTTGAATATTTACAATAGTTCTAAAGAAATGAACTTTTTTTGCAGCCAAACAAAAACAACAGGCTTTCATAATCATGCACCATAACCCCCAAATCACTAACACAGTTTCAGATAACAACTAAAAATCTCACCCAATATCATCATAAAACTAATTAAACATCATCACCACCTCAACATATTAAAACCACTCATCTTTTCACCATCCCCAGCCAACCAAACCAGCACCACAATAAATTTCAAAAAAAATATCTTAATCCAATACATAACACCAAAAAGCTTGCATCTTTCCACACAAATCTTCATATTACAATTATTATCATAAATTTCTAAGCATATAGAGCTGAAATTAACAAACTAATTTCCAAATTAAACCATTTTAAACAATTTGTCAATAACAAAATCCCTCAAAAACAAACATAAAAGCCTCTACAACACCCAAACAAAACAAAATTCAAACATAAATTACAATAACAACAACAGATCTGAGCCTCAAAACATTTCTCAAAAAAAAAACTCTAATCCTCTACATTCCGCTCAAATTACAAACATTTTCCCCACTACATTATATCAAGCAAAATTCAACCAGATCAAACATAAATACTCAAAAAAAAAATTCAAAAAAATTCAAAAAAAAAATACTAACCTTTTTGAGCTTGTTAAAACTGTATAACAGTTGTAAAATAATTAATAAAAAAAAGACTACAAATTTGATCAGCAAACCCGATCAAAATATATAAGATTTTCAAAACAATTTCTAGGGTTTGTGATCTTTGTAAGTGGTCCTTTTTTCTCTGTTAAATTCGGTTTTTAGAGCTCAAGAGAGAAAAAAAAATAAAAATTAATTTTAATTTTGATAAAAAAAACACACAAAAAAAAATTGAAAATTTGAGAGAGAAATAAGGGAATCTGGGTGGTAAGGATACACTGTTTTAGTAACCCATTTTTATAAACTATCCACCTGGCTTCCTCATGCCTCGCGTTTCACTTCATACCTTTACCCTTACTTTTTCTCTTATTTACCTAAATGCCATTTTCCTTTTTCTTTTTCTTTTTAACGTTCTGTTAATGTATATTACGACCTTTGTTTTAATTTGTTTGATTTGATTTAGATCGCGTTTTCATACTTTTAGCGCTCTATAAACCGCGGCCTATTAAGGCTATGAATGTGTTGTCGATAGAAGGAACAATGTACATCAAAAGCAGATCGATTGGTCCATTCTATAAAAGCGAGATTACTTAAATTAAACAAATAGGTTAGACTACGGCAATAATGTATTGAATGTTGAGAGTTAATATTAAAGTGTTACTAAAAAAGAGAAAGATATTCTTTATTTAAATGAATTTGAAAAAACGTACGATAGTCAAGTTAAAACGGAGAAAGTAACTTAAGACTAAAATTAATCTCATAAAAAATACTTATCAGTTTGTTAAAATTCATATTGATATAATGAAAGATCGTTACATAGTTTGATTGTCTAAATATAATACCTACATAATTCTTTTAATTAATACTTTATTTTTTCATCTTTTCTTTTTTTGATTCAAAAAATTCACTAAAAGTAATATAGAAAATATAATAATTTTTTAAACAATCAAAGAAATTGACACAATGAGAATATTCAATTTTTCAAAAATAATGCAAGATAGTGGGCATATAATATATATATCATTAATCTTTAAAAAACTTCTATATTACTCTTACGCTTTGCTAGGTTGTCTTCTAATCTTTATGGATTATAATTATTATTATTATCTTCTTTTTCATAATTCATTTTTGTAATAATATAATTAACTTAACGCGTGGTTATGTATTCTATATTTGAAAATATTCAGTGTGGCATCATTTAATTTCAATTTAAAGCATACTTAATTAGTTGAAAATTTTTGTTACAGCTAATAGCCTAATACTATTGTTATTTATAAAGGATTATAGGTATTAATATATTTTATATAAATACATCAAAGATCATTTAAGAAAAAGACATAATTGACTTATGAATATTTTTTAATCAAAAAAATATTATTTGTGGATATTAACGAGTTTATGACGGTCATCAGTTAATTTATACTCAGATTTTAATTGTATAATAATAAACACTTTATTGTGAAAATATTTTCCTAAATCAATTATTTTATTAGTACTATAATTTTAGGCCAAGAAAATGTCTTATGGTTCAAACTATTTACTTTGGTTTCATTTTATGAAATAATCGATTTGCATTTTGTTATACTTGAGTTGTTGTCTTTTCTCTTTCTTTTAATTCATCTTCTATTTATTATCTAATTATTTTATTTTATTTTTTACCCTACGCTTTTATAGTTGATATACTTCGTATTTTACTTTTTGTTATAGATTTATCTTTTTATTATATTTTTTAAAATTATATAATACAAATAAAGTGTTATTCTTAAATGTGTTTGTGGGAGGGGGGTAATTGAATAATTAGTCTCTTCTCATATATTGTTCTTCCAAACTTTTGCCTAGTTTTTTTATCGTGTTAATGAAAGTGAAAGATATATTTCTCAAAACTAGATAATATAAACAAAGTGTTATTCTTAAAACGTGTTTGTGGGATGGGGTAATTGAATAATTAGCCTCTTCTCATATATTGTTCTTCCAAACTTTTGCCTAATATTTTTATCGTTTTAACGAAAGTGAAAGGTATATTTCTCAAAACTAGATAATGTAAATAAAGTGTTGTTCTTAAAACGTGTTTGTGGGAGGAGGTAATTGAATAATTAGCCTCTTCTCATATATTGTTCTTCCAAACTTTTGCCTAATTTTTTCGTTGTTTTAATGAGTTTGAGAACTTGTGATTTAGTTAGAGTTGACAAAATTAATTTATGAAATTATGGCACGTTTAATTTGTTTAAATTTGAGCGGATGGTAAATTCGTTTATTTATTAACTTAGCTCATTAAAAATTGAATTAAAATATAATCTAATTTGACCTATGAGAAATCTTATCAATCTAAAAAATATAGTTTTAAAATTTTGATATGCTATATATAGTCATAATAAAGAAAAATAATATTTTTATTAACACTAAAAGCTATTAGTAATATTTTAAAAAATAATAATTAAAACTAAAAAATTATATTGGTTGAATTATAAATCACACTCTAACCAGACTCATTTCAACTCAAATAAATTTTAGATAAATTAATAATTTGGCCTGATTCAATCTAACAATTTATTTTAATCCGCCTATTTCATACCTCTGAATTCAACACAACTAGAGCAAAAGCCTTTTTAGTAGATTTTTTTTATATATATAAAAAAAAGTTATTTGTTTGGAACAACTTTTTTTTAAAAAAAAAAAAGGTTGCCAAATATTTTAAGCTTAAAATTATGCCTTGAAAATTTCTTTAACAGGAAATAGGAAACATAATTAAATTCCTTGACAAAATACAATAGGTTTTTGTACGAATAAATTTTCAAATGTTAGAAATTAAGTTTTTGAGTCTTTTGCTTGGATTAATAACAATAATATTTAATTTGATAGGGTACTATTGCGTCTAGGAATATATCTATAATCAATAATAAATAAATAAAATCCAAATATTTGTATTGAGATTTTGTATTGACTTTTTTTTATTTTAAAAAAAATACGAAATGAAATAAACAACAAATTATACGCAATTCTATTTTTTTTCTTTAAAAAAAACATTTTCTTTTAGGTCATATATCATTTTTAATATTAATTGTGAAACACCTTAAGCAACAAAATATTAATAATTTCGAAGGGCTCTTTTGGAAAATTTTAGATTCCAAATAAATTTTCAAATGCCTTAATAATAATTTAAAAGAAGAAAATGTGAGTGAATCTTTTACTTCCATTAATAATAATACCCAATTACGAACGTGAGAATATTTTATTTTAACTTTTTACTTTATTTAAAAAGAAGAGTTTTCTAAATTCTCAAATACAATTTGAAATTTGAAGAGAAAAAACACCTAACTCCTCTTTCACCTTTAATTTTTTTTAAAAAATTACCCTCTAAAATTTTATTTTTATAAAATAATAGGAAACTTACGTAAATATATTATAATAAAAAATATTTATCATTAATAGCAATAACATTTTTTCTCACTTGATCACTTTTAATTCACTTATAATACAAGTTTAATACATATTATAAAGAACAATTTATTATTCACGTGTAATACAAGTTTTAATGATTGATAATATATTTATCACACATTTTAATACACTTACGATACAACTTGACAATTTTTTACAAAACAAACATAATATATTTCAAAAACAATTATAATTCATATATATTGCATACATAATTCACTTTTAATATATATTACAGATTTATCACAGTATTGCTATAAATGATAATAAACAAAAAGTATCACTAAAATGAGTAATTATTTTTTAAAATGTATTGTAAATTTTTCTAAAATAATCCTATTTAAATCATATTGTAATCTTTAATATTTATTAAAAAAAATATACTTATACATAAATTTAAATTTACATTCTCAATCTTTTAAAGATATAATTTATTTTCACGATCAAACATTGACTAAATCTTTTTTTAGGATAAAGTTGCTTCTAGAATTATATCACCTCTTCAATATTAATTATTATGGTTGAACCATATGCTTAACTTTGCTACCTAAAATGGTCTTACATATCTTTTCCTTTTAGTCATCCATGTGTAATCTTAATTTTTTTTCAACTTTATGTCATGGCATAACGTGTTGGCCATATTTTTTTTTCACGTTCGATGTTCATATCAGTATTTTAATAAAATTTAATTCGTATATTATGAAATATTTAAAAATAATATATTTTAATAATATTTTTTTCATATCTAAAATTCAAATTTAAAATTTCTTGATCATACTTATATTATGATTTCATAGTTGATTTAAGTTTTATATATTTAATAAATGACCATTGTTTATTATGACTTTGTAACACATCATTTATTAAATAATATCATCTATATTACTTTTTTATTGATCTAATTGGATAGATATGATTTATAACATGTCATTTATTAAATAATATCGTTTAAATTATTTTTGATTGATCTTATCAAATAAATAAATATATTATTAGTTAAATCTCTTTATAAACAAATAAACTCATGCAATAATGCCTTATTAGTTATTATGAAACAATCAATTTTTTATTGAAGAAGATAATATATTTTTTTTATATCTATTTTTTTTATCTATAACGAGAACAATCATTCATCTTTATAACGGTACATTCGTTATAATAATTATTTTTATGTAATAATTTTTTTATAAAATAATGATGAGACATTTTTTATAGAAAATAGAATCTTTAAGATTCCTAATAGTAAAAAGGAAAATTGACCAGCTATTTTAATACATTATTTATGACAGAATATTATCGATAAGAATATACATTTTCTTTATAAAATAATTCACTTCCTCATGCAAAATGTGATTAAGCTTACAATTACAATTTAATAATAATAATAATGATGAGAGTAGATCTCGTGTATCTTTTTTCACCTAAAACAATAAATTATTATTTAAACATCAAATATTATTATTATTATATCGTATATAACAAATAGTTTCCATAAATAATTAAAAACTTAAATATCAGTGATAATATTATAAAAGAATTTAATTGCATAATTTTTTATGTAATAAAGTTTATCTCTACATTCGAACTTTCAACCATCAACTACTCAAACAGTAATGATATAACAAAACAAGTAAATTAAATCTCGATATAGTATAACTCTTAAAATATGTTACTCATAGATTATTATTTTTTTTGTTTTGGATATATCAATATCTTTATTTATAGTCCATAGATATCGAACTAAAAATGTTGAGATTAAAGTCATCAATGTATATTTATTAATATCGCGATGAAATAATAAATATTTTTTTATTA